GAGCGGCCACAAGTTGTCAACCCTATGAGCTCGGGAGCTACTCGCCTCCTCTCATAACATGTCGATACAATAACCCAAATGCCTGTGGTCTCGGAACCTTCATGACAACCACTGCACCCCAGCAAGTCAGCAAGCACCATCACTTGCTCCCCCAGGACTCTCCGGTGCCCGAGGCAGCAAGGCCCCACAGCACAGGCTGAGAAGTTAGGAGTCGGTCAGCCTGAACCACCGTTTTCCTAAGAGGTATTAGTTTTAAAAGCTTTTTTGATTTGGAAAATTGACATCTAAAAATTCCCTCCCATCTGTCATTGGTAACTTATCTCCTGCACTTTAATGGAGGGAACAGGACTGACCCACCACACTTAAGCTTGTATTTCTTCCAAGAAAAATCCACTTAAACCAGGTTCAAGGTGAAAGCTCTCAGGGAGATTGCATCTGCTCTACTGAGTCAGTCCCTAGATTCAATAAGCTGGTCTCTGGGAAGACATGCCATAGCTTCCACGTCACCTGACGGCTGGAGAGGCGCCCTCCAGGATCATCCCATCCCTGTGCATGGGGTAGGGGCGGGGGGCCACCACCTCCCACCACCCTGCAAGGGGCGTTGAGTCAGGCCTGCGCACAGCAGTCTCCCCAAAGAGGACTCACACTTGCTTAATTAGTCCCCGGAAGAGGTTTGACACCTGCTTAACTAGTACAAATGCTTCTCCTCTGTGCTCAACAGCAATCATCCTGACAGGCTTCCCAGCTCCAGAAGAGGCCCCAAATAAACACACCTAACATATTTTAAATGGCTTTATTAAAGGCTATTAATATAAAATACAACCAAGTTACAAGTCATCAGTAAGAATGTTTCAATTGTTTTTGAAAACATGTAACAAAGAAAAGGAGGTGGCTCTGACATCCCCGTGGGGTGCAGCGTGCAGCCATTCCCAAGCAGGCAGCACTCCCAAACCCAGAGAGCGGGGCAGGGTCCCCCAGGTGAAGGAACTGAAACTAGTTTCTGACTTCCTGGGGGTCAGGAACGGTCACCCAAAGCAAGACACTAAATCCTTGAGTTGAATCCCAGATGCACCGAATGGGGGTGTGGTTGGGGGGGGGGGGGAACACCCAACACCAAATACAGGCTTCAGTTGAAAAGTGTGTATTTTTAAAATAATAAATATAAACTCCTGGTTCTAGAAACCCTACCCTGATACATGTTGTGGGGGTGGACGGCAAACTTAAGAGCTTCATTTGTCCATAGTACTCAGACACACCGAACACAGGTTCCCCGGTGGGCAGGAACCATCTTAGACACCCACCAGCCTGTGTCCTCTAGGCCTTCACGCCTCCCTCTCACAGTCCCTGACCTCTGAGAGCAGGGCCAAGCAACACCACTTGAGGATTTCCCAAGCTTTGATTTTACCTTTCATCTCAGGAGGCCATCTCTTATGAAACTTAAGACGCTGTAGAAACGAGATTAACTGAATAGCTCTGAGCAGAGGCTCCCAGGTGGCACCTGGGGAGGCAGAGATTTTCAACCATCCCCGAACCCCCTCAGCTCCCAGGGTCCAACTTGAAAGGAATAATTGGGCTTTATGTGAAAATCAGCAAGAAATGAGAACCATCTCCTTAGAGAACAGACAGCTCACCTTGGGCTGACTGTTCCTGGATGTAGTTCAGTCCCCCCTGCTACACCAGCCCCAAGGAATACCAACACACACCTGTACATCTCTCGTTTAAGGAACCGTTTTCAAGCACGGGTTCTGAGACAGTCCGATGTCCTCCAGGCTGGAAGTGGAGGCAGATGGCGAGCCAGGCTCTGAGAGTCGGCGGCTGACCTGAGGGCCGGGCACGCTGCTGTGCTGTGTCAGCTGGAGTTTCCCTTTTTCCTTCCCACCATGCTAGAAACCTTATTTCCCTGGCTTGTTTCAACTATCCTTAAATGGTACAAAAGAACCTCTATTTGCCATAACACAGTCACCAAAGCAAGAAGGTCATATCCACAACCCTAAGGGCCCAAATGAGGTTTAAGGACATAATCCAATTGGCAGAAACCAGATCAAAAGTTGGCTGGGCCACAACTTTGGCAGAAACATTCCTGGGTTGGGGGGGGGGGTAATGGGGGAAGTTGCCATGGGCTTTACCTTGGAGCCAGATAAGATATTCTGGAAATCACTTAAGAAGGTCATACGAAACAGAAACACAGTTTTAAAAAGACACACTTTGATACTGAAACTAGGTGCTCACTGGCCGGACTTGCAGGGGTTAAGGCTTCGGGTGAGGAGAACACAGTGAGAGGCCATGTGTAGATCGCACTCGGGCGCGTCCCGCAGGCTCCTGCAGCCCAGGGCCACCGGTCAGGGCACAGGCTTCCCAGGGTAAGGCCCACGCTCCTCCTCGCCCTGTCCCACCCACCTCGGGAGCATGGGCCACCTTGCTCCCCTGGGCAGCCTGGGAGCTGCCACGACACCTGCGCAGCAGCGGGTCACAAAGTCTCGCTCCAAGAGATGCCATTGCTATGAGCACACAGGTCTCCAGGGGGCGCTGCGGGGCGCTGCAGAAACTTGACTGGTCACTTCAGCTGGTGGTCAGGAATGCGGAGGGAGATCCGTCCAGGGAGTCTGACCAGTCCTCGGGATGAAGGCGTCCACTGGCCCGCCAGTCTCATGCTGGAAGGTTCTAACACAACTACTCAGAAGAGCCCATCCTCCAACACCTGCCATCCACCCTTACCCCTGCAGACGCCCGAGACAGGGGACTTCCACAGGCCACGTGAGTAGCAAAGAGCTTCCAGAAAGAAACCAGTACACACCCCAGAAAAGTGGTAGCCCTACAACATCTAAACCTAGATACAAAATAATGAAAAGTTAATACAAAACTTTTAAACATGCAGCTCTTCTTAAACAGCTATGAATGGTTTGAATAGTTATCAGGCGAACGAAAGAGCATCTCTGCCGTGTGCCAACAGTCTGCCTCCTGGAAACGCCGTGAGGGTGGAGATGGCACACGATCCGAGAAGCGTGGCTTCAGGTGGCCCTGGACGGCTGGGGACGTTGGGTGGGGACTGGGGGCAGTGCGGGGGGGGGTCACCTTTCCGTGGTCATAGCCGGCGTGCTGATGCCACTACTGAGGACATCACCAACAGCCACCCAACCAAAGTTCACCCAATTAATAAAAAGGGGAGAGACTAAAGGAGAAAGAGAGGGAAATCGCCTTCACGATTTTTGTGACACAATGAGAAACCTTGTTCTCTGGGATGGGGGGAATTGGGTGGAACTGGGAACAGAAGCTTTATGTACAAGATCAACGGAATTCCCTAACAGTCTTTAAAAATTCCAAATGCAAAACTTTTGTTATCAAATCATTGAAAATAGCATATATATCTGGCCTTACCAAAAAGAGAAAAATCTGGAAATCTGGACAAGGCAATATTTACCAGTTTCCAAATGATTAAGAAAAAAGTGTACAGAAACCAGGAAAATACAAAGGGAAATATTGCCCATTTTATCCTCCTCCACCACACCGCTTTGGAAAAACACTTCAGGGGTTCTTGGTTTTATTGTTATTATTATTATTTTGGTCTAATACACTTTACCAGTTGTCCAGAAAATCGAATCCTGTCTTCAAGACAACATTACTTGAAGTGACCTGTAGAAGGGACATGAACACCAAAGTAAGACACAAGTTTCTTTTCTTTTCTTTTCTTTTTTTTTTTTTAGTTATACATAATCTAAAAACAGCATCTCATTTAAATTGACCCAAATGAAATCGCTCCCTTCCATGCCAGAGCTCCCTGACCTCAATTTGCCTCAGTGCTTGGAACCAGAAAATCAAAGAAACTTCAATGGGAGCCACACTCTGCCAGGATCCAGCGCTTTCCCCGCCCTGTCTCCAGGCAGGTCTGCAAGCAGCTCGTAGAGAAAAGGAGAACAATGTATCTTTTCTATTGTGCACGGACAGGCAGGGTGAAAGGCAGTCATCGTGGAATAAGCGAACAAGTGACAAAATCTTCCCGATGCTCTCACACCAGCGCACGCGTCCACCTGGTGGGCGTCAGCCTGCGGGAAGGACGCTCGGACGCCCGCCCTCCACGGAGCTGGCAAAGAGCAAAGACGCTTTGGTGGAGACAATGACACCAACGGACTAAAGCAAGTTCCCTCGAAGCTTGTCTCGGGCCCGGTGTGGCTGCATGTGACACTGACGCAGAGGGAGCCAAGACGGAAAAACCCAAAAGAATTCAGGCAAATGGTCCTCTCTCTGCTTTCTACTAGTTTCTTCAATGAGGTTGGCATTTCTCTGTGCTTTGCACCCAGAAATCTGTTCTCTACAAGGATTTCATGTGCCATCTCCGACTGCCCACTCCCCCTGTACACACCTCCCTGCATCTCTTTACAATTAGGACTCTCGGGTATTTAAATAAAAACTTCCTTCAGAGAAGACCCAGGTGCCAAGAATCAGAGAAAGATCACCAGGGAGGCACAGCAGCCAGCCTGGCAGGTCTGTAAGAAGGAGGAGGTGGGCAGGAAGGTTAGAGACCCAGAAGACAGCAAAGACACCGGGCGGGGGGCCACCACGGGAAGGACCAGGAGGCACCCAGAGCACTGGCTTAAGATGGTGGATACACCGAGGAGGACAGGCTGGAAAGCTGAGGGGCCACTGATGGGGCCAGACGGAGCTCCTGTCACAGGGCTCCCCTTCTTCAGGAGGTGATCTGCTGGGAGGGGTGGAAGCACCTGAAGCCTGGAACCCCCTTCCACGAGATGCCCGGACAATGACCACAGCTCAACAACACAAAACTCAACTGTTAAAACCAGACAAGGGATCCAAACAGACATTTGTTCAAAAAAGATATACAAGTGGCCAAAAAACAACAGGAAAACAGAGTCAACATCACCGCCCACTGGGGACAGGCAAATAGAAACCACGACAAGGCCTACAGGTATCGTCTCCCGGCCGTGAGGATGGCCATGTTCAAAGAAGAGAGAAAACCCGTGTCGGCAGGATGTGGAGAAAGGGCCCTGTCACGTGCTGCTGAGGGAAGGAAAATGGCGCCGCCCCTGTCGGAAACAACATGGCGGTTCCTCAGAAAGTCAGACACAGAATCACCACGTGATCTGGCGGTCTATCCCCAAGGATGGAAGGCAGGGACTCGAACAGATGTGTGTCCAGCCACGCTCACGCCAGCACGGTTCACAGCAGCCGAGGGGTGGAAACCAGCCATGCACGAGGCCATCCCCAGATGGGGGATAAACGAATGTGGTCATTCCATACAGCGGGGTATTGTTCAGCATCAAAAAGGAAGGAAATCCTGCCACATGCCGCCACGTGGATGGACCCTGAAGATATTATGCTGAGCGAGATAAGCCAGACCCAGAAAGATGGAAACTGTAGGATTCTACTTAGATGAGATACTAAGAGTGTTAAATTCACAGAAATATCAAGCAGAATGGCGGCTGAGGGGGGGGGGGGACAGGGAATTGTTTAATGGGTACAGAGTTCTGTGACGGATGGTGACGATGACCGTATGACCCTGTGAACAGACCTAATACCCGAGGGCTGTCTACTCAACATGGCACATTTTAGACTCTTTATATTCAACCTAATACAATACACATTTTTCTAAACACGTGCTAAAAGGAAAAAAAAGAGAGAGCGAGAGAGCACCGAAGAGTCCGGATGGTGCTAACACGGAGAAAACCAGCACGGCACACAGAGAGGAGTGTGGGGGATGAGGGGTACCCCTCAAGGCTGCCTGCCTACCTCGCCAACAGGTAACTCCCCCAGGCTCCAAGATCGAGACTCAAACCTAAGATCCCTCTTTTCCTCCCCCCGGCCATCCTCGTTTGTGAGCAGGTGGCCGTTCCCATCCCTCCTCCCCTCCCCGCCTCGGGACTCTGCAAGCACGCCCACCCATCCAGAACACGTCTGCAGGACAGGAGCACGAACGTTCCGCACAGGGCTGCCCGTGTCTCGGACGGACGGGACACAGACCCCGTTTATGTTCTCACCCAGGTGCAAGAACAACCCACGACTGTCCCCCAGAAACGGTTCTCAGACATGTCTGCATCCAAACTACTGCTTTGCTCCTCATAATGCCTCAAAACCAAGGCCTCCCTCCGAAATATGATGACTTTGGGTTGGTTTTTATTTTTTTTGTTTTTGTGCAATCCTCTAACACTGGCTCCATTTCAATTCACAACCGAACATTGTATCTTCTCTTCACTCTCTCAAGCAGGGCAGACCAGCGGGTACAGACAACGGTTAAGGCTCCCATGAGAAAAGGGAAATCACTCAGAAGCCGCTCACCCTATTGTCCTGCACCATCCTTTTCTCCAGGACACATTCCTCCTCACCCAGCAAACCTCTCAGATCTTTCTTTTCCCTCCCCTCAAAAAGTACTCCTTTCTTAGAATTCCTCCCTGGACACGTAACACTATCCTGTCTGGAAATAAGCAGCTGCTATCGCTCCCTGAAGCCAGAGTCTCTCGAGATGGAGCTCGGCCGCTCTTGGTGGAGGCTCGGCGGTCCCGCCTGCTTGCTCCATGTCCCTTTGGGGCATCTGCCAGTCCCTTCCTCCCCAACACCCCCGCCCAACTTTACGGACCCATCAGCTGAGTGGCCATCCAAACCCCTCCCACACTGACTGCCCTCTCCCTGCGAGCTCCTGTGCTCACGGCCCACTGCCGGCCCTCCCTTACCTGCCCTCACACACCGGGGGAAGGGCAGCGGGCATCTGCAACATCTACATGTAACAGGCAAATAAGTCATGGCACCAGAACGGATTCATGAGATGTGTTTCCTTGTACGTCAGTCACTGAGGTAACAACCCAGCTCTCCTGATCCCTGAAGTCCCCACAAGGAAAGGGCAGGAGAAAGAAAGGGAAGAAGAAGAAGAAAGCAAGCCCATCTGCGGTCCACCCATCTTGTGGGAGGTCTCCCCGGGTCACTCCCGGAGGAGGGGCCGCCCACCTGAGTCGGCATGGGTTCTGAAAACAGCCCATCCTCCACGTCGTCCACGTCGTCCTGCTGGTCCTCAGGAGAAGGCAGCTTCGCCACGGGCTCGGACGGGATGGCTTCCTTTCCCGTGCTGGCGCAGGCCTGGACAGGCTGGGGTCTCTCGTGCTCGACGCTGACACAGGGAACGACGCGCTGCTCCTGGTGGACGTTGCCGGGCCTCTCCCCCTTGGTCTCCCTGTCCTTCAGGGCGGGATCCTGCCGGTAACAGGCAGGCAGGACCTTTTCACCTTTCTCCATGGACTTGATCTGGCTGGGCGTCAGCGACTGGAACTCAGCCTCAGGCCCCTCTCCCCGGGACCGCTCTGCGTTGATCTTCCAGAAGGAAGCTTCCTCCTCCTTCCGGGCAGGACCCAGGGCGTCCAGGCTGGAGGACTTGCCGCCCTGGGAGGACCGGAGGGCCTGTGAGCCCTGGGAGGCTTTCGACAGCTGTCTCGGCTCACTGGCCGTGCCGCTGGCCGGCTCTTGGATGGATAAGGAACAGACGCTGAACTCCATCTGACTCTACAGCGGGGACACAGAGGAGAAAACCGCACAAGCCTTAAAATCCGCGGCAACGGGCGCGTGGCTCCCACCTTCCCCTGCCCGACCACGATGACACCGCTTGTCATCCGCCAGCTGCATCTTTCTGTCCTGAGGGCTGATCTTCGGGACGGCGGTCCGCACACCCACCCCAGCAGAAGCGTGGACACCACGGCCCTGCCACACACCAGGCCACCGACGTCGCAGACTGACTCACCGAGGACCCTGGCCTCTGCCTGGTGAGCAGAGCACCGGCTCGTCTCCTCGAGAGTGCTTCCAGCACCTTCCAGAGGATGGGCTGTCTGGGGGTGACCGCCCTCCCTGGAAGGTGAGGAAGAAGGTGCACGGCTCAGCACACCCCCGCCCCGCAGTGGGGGTCGGCACCCAGCCCTGGCGCCCGTGGCTCCCCACGTAGGGTGGCAGGTGGTGGACATGGCTGAAAGAAACCAACAGAGCCCGAGCCTGCTTTCCTGGATGAAACAGCGTGGGGACCCGCCCCACCCGCCCCTGCCGGACATGCCAGCTGCCACAGACCACGTGTCGGTGCGGCCCTCGAATTCACGCGTGGAAGCCCTAACACCCAAAGTGAGATGTAGGAGGAGGTGGGGCCTCTGGGAGGGGATCGGGCCATGACCATGAGGGCGCCATGATGGGGTTAGTGTCCTTGTGAGAGGCCCAAGAGCAATGGTCTCCCTCCCGCCATCCAAGCACACAGTGGGCAGGAGGCCGTCTGCCAGCCGGGAACCCCCATCCCACTGGCACCCTGACCTTCCAGCCTGCGCGACTGGGGCAAAGCAATGTGTGTTGTTTAACACCCCCCCTCCACCCCACATCTGTGCTGTCACGGCAGCACTGGATGAGCGAGAACGTGGGTCACACGGAGGGCTCCCTGGGAGAGACGCCCCCACTCGGCAGTGCTCTGCAGCTACGACCTTGATCCGGGGCCTGAAGCCTGAGGCCGTCACCCACTGGAGACTGCGCAGGGCACACACATGCCTGAGTGTCCCAGAAACGCTTTGTTCCATCCAAGGCTGCTCAGCACAGTGACCTCCAGCAAAGCCGGCACGATGCCGTGGAGAACCCATCAGGAGGGAGAAGGACAGCTCAGCCACACGCTCAGCCGTACACACTGGGGCGCGGGTTCTCCCAGGCTCTGCACGGTGAGCAATGAGTTTCTACGTTTCTATAAACCACCTTGAACCTTCCTCTCCCTACTTCTCCCTGAGATCCCCTTCTTCTTCTTTTTTTGTTTTTTAAGATGTTATTTGACAGAGAGAGAGAGTGTGTGCACACAAGCAGAGGGAGGAGCAGAGGGAGAAGCAGGCTTCCTGCTGAGCAATGAGCCGGATGCGGGACTCAATCCCAGGATCCTGAGATCAGGACCTGAGCCTAAGGCAGTTGCCTAACCAACTGAGGCACCCAAGCGCCCCTTCTTCTTCTTTTTTAAATAAAAGTAATAAAACTACAATACAGAGAGCTTGGGAATTATTAAAGAAGTCGTTCATAAGTTTCCCTTCTTCTGTAACCCCTACCTTTCGTGTTTTTGTGTCGCTGTTTTCGTACACGTATTTCAGGAGGTTGGGATTCTGTTATGCCTGTAATCTGGGGCACTGTAGGTGCGCCTCAATGGCATCGTCGGTTGAGCATCTGACCCTTGATTTCGGCTCAGGTCATGATCTTGGGGTCACGCCGTTCTAATTAAGGCTGCCGCGACCATCTCCATGCATATAGCTCTTCCTGTGCAGAACTAATTTCTTCAGATACCAATTTCCAGATGTGAAATATCAAAATCCAGAAGGTTTAAGACCTTTCCTTTTTATGGTTCGAGATGCACACCAGCCGATCTGTTTTCCAGACCTGCCCCAATTTCTACCACCGCCAGCGATATAGCAAGACTGTATTTTCAGTTACTGTCTCATTTAAACACTGTGCTAACTTAATATACAAAACCTGGTTCTTTAGGGCTGTAACGCGTAACTCTTCCCTGGGTTTTACACAGAGCGCTCGCTCTGACTCTCACTGATGGGCACAGACGTGTTTGTCAGAGGAGGATGAAACCGTTGCTTTTCCCGAGCAAACGGCAGGCCTGGAACCCAGACAGTGAGATGTGCTCTCAGCCTGAGACTTCTCCTAAAGCCTGGACCCTCATGCCCGGTGGTTTCTTCTCAAGGCTAAGAAGACAAGAAGGGATGGGAGCACAAGACACCAAGTTCAAGTGTGGGGCACAGGCGGCTTGCTGCAGTAAAGAGAACCCCAGGGAGAAGCCACCACAGCCCCAGCTCTGCCGATCATGGCCCCCTGAGTGCATCTCACGCATCGGGCACTTTCCCTGCTGCTGGGCCGGGTTTTTGAAAAAATGTTCCCTCTTACAAATGAGCAAATGGAGATCCGGAGCAATCTGAGCCGATGGTCCTGGGTCACTAGCCCGTGAGATGCAGCTGGATTTCCACCTGGATCCAGCGATCCCAGGCCTGAAGCTGTACCGGGCATCGGGCCACGCATAAAAGCCACTGGCCACCAGGGACGACATCCACATAAACGCCAGGACGTCCTGTACAGGGCCGGATTTGGGTAAGTACGCTAATGATCTAATTTGATTTTGAAAGGGCTGTTTCTGAATGAGCCACTCAGTACTCTGTATATTTCCAAATGCCACAACAGAATACAGGGAGACTGTGGGCAAAGAGAGGACGCTTTCTTTAAATAAGCAAGTTGCTAAAGATACCTCGGAAGTGGAGACCAAGGCTTAGAGCAGAGATGACTTTGATCTGGAAATTGCAATGTAAGGAAGGCGCTTAAAACTGAGCATTTCATCACGCCCCAGGCTTTTTTAGGATCAGCAATTTCTCCAGTGGGATCTCTGCTCAGAAGCCTCTGGAAGGCTGGGCTGAGCCCTTGTGTACGTGGAGGGCAGCCATGGACCAAGCGAGGGACGCTGCAGAGAGGAGGCGGTCCCAGTGGTCCCCAGACCACTTCAGGCCACCACTGGTAGGGTCCCCTGGAGGCACTGGCAGGACGCGACAGCCTTGAACAGAATGAAACGACAGAGGCTGTGCTGTGTTCCTGGGCCAGTTGGAGGCCATGTGGCCCTCCTCAGGGGACAGTGTCGTCTGGCTATCCTGACAGTAGTGGCTGCCTGGTTTCAGGGCTTTGGGGTGAAATGGGGAAAATAACTTAGAGATAAAAAAAAGTTCTAGCATCTTTGATTCAAAGCCTTTTTTCCTGGGTATACATCATTTTTAATTTTGCAAAAGAACAGGACTACACTCTCCTTCTAAAAGATAGTCCTGCCTCATCAGCGGCGCTGAAGCCAGGTCTTCACCAGGAAGGCGAAAGGGTTCCGTGTTTGTATTTCAAACACACACCTGCTGAGAAAGGACAGGGCGGGAAAGAGGAAAGCAGCAAAGGACCTTCCCCGTATCTGGATCTCATCTCACTTGGCTCCAAAACTCCAGGAACTCTAGAGAACCCGGAGCAGGAACAGGGTCTGGGGGAGAACAAGGCCGCTCCTCCCAGGCTTGCGCCCCCCTCCAGATCGCTCCTCCTGCCCCAGGGGGTTCGCTGCCGACCTGTCTCCAAGCCAGAGGGAAGAGCACCTCCAGACTCATCTTCAAAGACATGCTGTCATAGGCAAGGGGCACCTTCCACTTCAGCTCCGCAGGCCGTTTCAAAGGTGTCACTGCTTTTCCCTTCTGCGACTCACCCCTCCCAGGCTTCTCCCTGCTGGCCACTCCCCTGCTCTCCCAGACCAGGGCTCCAGGGCTGCTCTGGCCTGCTGTGCTTCCCCCAGCTGCCAGACAACCAAACGGCAAAACCGCCCACCAGCTCCCTAACCCTGAACCTGGGCTTTCTTCTTTTTCAGTAAAGAAAGGGAAATAACCATCCTTGCCTTGCCAGACAGCCAGGAAGATTAACAAGCAGATGCCCCTCAAGGTTTGCGTCTTAGACAAGCGCCTGGGGTACAGTAAGTGCTCAGTAAACACAAGCTACTTTGCTCTTCTCCTCAGTCCTGTGCGGGGCGTCAGCAACATTCCCAGTGGGTCCCCTCCAGGCTCTGGCTCCTCCCATGCCCTCCTCTGCTCACCAGGGCCACGGGGTGTGGTGCCTGCTTTCCAGTGCTGCAGGGGGTCTATGCCCGAACAGCCGAGCCGGGGGATGTCCCCCTTTTGAGCGCCCAGTGTCAGGCCTCGGAGTCAGGGCTGCAAAGCTCCCTGAAAGTATCACTGCCGAGCCACTGTCCTGTCCTGTGGCCTCTCCCAGAGCCTGTGGTTCTGGGACAGTAGGGACTCTGTCCCCCTCGCCTTCCACCATGTCCTTGAAGGTCACACCATACCACTGGTCCTGAGAGACGGTGTCAGGGGTGCCCTTCTGACTCTGGAATAGATCAGTGAGAGGGATGGGGACAGCCCCTGCCTTGTGGAACCCACAGGTCTAACGGGGGGGGAGGGGACGCACTTCTGGTCCCTGTGATGAGCTCCGCAGAGTAGAGAGACAACCAAGTTCCAAATCCCATTTTCTTATTTCTGGAAAAAAGGCTGAAGCGCTCTTGGGAAGGGAGGTGGTGCCAGGTCCAGCCCCTCCACTCTGAGCGACCCCGAGCCAGGGCCCCGTGACGCTGTGTGTGAGAAGCAGCAAAGGGGTCAATGACTCCAGCTTGGCCGCCCCGGATAGGGACAGGAAGTTGGGCTGGGGAGACCCAACACTGCAGGCTCCCGTGATCCCTGAGATGGGACATGGTGGGGAGGCATGGTGACAGCCCATCCCCCACACCCCCGGCCTTCGCTGAAGCCCCAGGGAGGACGCGCGGGAGGATTTCGTCCCGCCAAGCCGGGACTGGGCGTCAGTCACCCCATGTGGGGACCTGGGTCTCAGCTGGCCATGTCCGTTCTAAAAACAGCAAGACCACAACTGAGCCCAGCATCTATTTTTATACCCCACTCACTGGAGAGGAATGTGTAATATTTCAGTAAAGGGGGAACGCA